TGCTCTAACTACTGGACTAAAAGTTATAATGTAGGCACTGGTAACTACATAATAACAGGTTACTATCTCATGCTGTAGGTGAAACAAAACATCCAGAGTTATTAGCTCTAAATCATGCTGAAAACCTAGGGCGGTTGTTTAAGCCCTGCTCTACACTAGGACTTTAGGTCGAATTTAGCAGCGTTAAATCGATGTAAACCTGCACCTGTTCACATGATGAAGCCCTTTATTTCGACTTAAAGGGCTCTTAAAATCGATTTCCTTACTCCACCCCTGACAAGTGGATTAGTGCCGGGTCGAATTTGGGGTACTGAGGACACAATTTGATGGTATTGGCCTCCGGGAGCTATCCCAGAGTGCTCCATTGTGACTGCTCTGGACAGCACTCTCAACTCAGATGCACGATTGTTTGCCGTTACTCTGATGCAGGGAGGGGCGACTGATGACACGGCTTAGAGGGTTGGCTTACAGGGAGCTAAAATCAACAAAGGGGGTGGCTTTACATCAAGGAGTATTTCAGGCAGGACTTCACGGAGGGTTCCAAGAAGAAATGGTGCACCTAAGTTATTCTTATTGGAACAAGGAGGTTAGTCTGGCCTCTGATTGATACATGGCTAGATTTACCTCGCTGCACCTTCTCTGTGAGTGACTGCAGTGTGACCTAGAGGAATGAGTCCCCTAGATGGGGGCCCGGGGGGTGGGTTTGCAAATGAGTACAAAACAAATCTGGTCTATTTCTTGTTTTTGATACACTCCATCTATCTTTTACATCTTTGGCTGGCAGCAGACGGTGCAGAAGGACTGCATGCCATCCACATCTCATGGCTGCTCGGCAGAAGGTGGTACAATAGGACTGCTAGCCATCCTCATCTCTTGCCTGCCCGGCAGAAGATGATGCAATAGGACTGCTAGCAATCCGTATCACCTGGCTGCTCACCATAAGATGGTTCAATAGGACTGACTGCAGGACTAAAGAGAATGACTTTATCAAGTCACTCCAAATTTAGTCCCTGCGCCCATGTCTGCCCAGGCGCTCCTGATCGACCTCACACAGGCGACCAGGAGCACCTCGGACATGACGATGACGGCTACCAGTCCTATTGCACCGTCTGCTGCCACAAGGCAATGGGTTGCTGCTGCTGTGTAGCAATGCAGTACCGCGTCTGCCAGCACCCAGGAGACATACGGTGACAGTGAGCTGAGCGGGCTCCATGCTTGCCATGTATGTCGTCTGCACAGGTAACTCAGGAAAAAAGGTGCGAAACGATTGTCTGCCCTTGCTTTCACAGAGGGAGGGAGGGAACGGGGGCCTGACGATATGTACCCACCCGTGACAATGTTTTAGCCCCATCAGGCATTGGGATCTCAACCCAGAATTCCAGTGGGCAGCGGAGACTGCGGGAACTGTGGGATAGCTACCCACAGTGCAACACTCCAGAAGTTGACTCTAGCCTCGGTACTGTGGAAGCACTCCGCCGAGTTAATGCACTTAATACACTTAGAGCATTAGAGCATGTGGGGATACACACACTCGAATATATAAAACCGATTTCTAAAAAACTGACTTCTATAAATTCGACCTGATTTCATAGTGTAGACATACCCTAAAGGGTGCAATTGATGCTTCTTATAAAGCACAAGCTCACTATAGACTGTTTTAGAAAGAGATGATTTCCCCTTCACCCAACAGACTTTTTCCTTCTCTAAATATTGGTTGGGGTTGACAGAAAGCTACCTAGACACACATGGAAAAGCTTTGCTATCTTTTTGTTTGCTATTGCCTCAGAAATCTTCTGTAAAGATAAAAGTGAAGTTTACTAATAAAATGCTAAACCAGTCATATGAAGAATCAATTCTAGCTATGTGTTGAAATACGTATTTCAGTGGAGCTTTCTTTTGATTTCAGTCCAGACGTTCAGGGCTCTTTTTCTGACTGCCCTTTAAAAATGAGTATTCACAGGAGCAGAGACAAGGGGGAAGTATCATTTAAGTTTGCTTGGCTGCCTCTCATCTTTGCAGTGAGCGATAGTTTGTAAACATACCTAAGATCACAAGACGTTTCATCTTCGGGCATGGTGAGAGGGGTGTCATGGCAGTGCAGTACCTATGGGGAACTTGACAAATCCACAAGCTGTTAATAAAGCCCTCAATGTACCATACATGGAGCTAGAGTAAATGTTAGTGTCTGACCTCTGGCTGCCTCAGCTCCATTTTTATATAGCAATATTAAACTTGTCTTTGATCATAAAAGATTAGACCTTTGTAAAAGCAAAAATGAGCCTCCCTCAAGTACTGCAGGTACCATGACCTCTCATAGCCAGATGCTCCAAGTTGAGAATTCTGCTATTAAAGAATCTATGTTGTATTTCAGACCAAGTGCTTTTTAACAAATGAAACTGACTCAGTGACTATAAACCTGCCAGACAACATTTGCTCTTGATGGTATCACCCAGTGAATTCAATTAAAATCAAAGAATATTTTTTTGTTTAAACACCTACACTGTGCACAAGTCTGAACAAGAAAATCCCTGTTAAGTTATCTTATGGCACTGTGTTGAGAGCAAAGAGCAGGGTAGTCAGGAATTTAGGCCTTCCTTGTGAAGCCTTGTGCAAATTGTTGTGCTGCAAGGTTGAAGCTTTCTGATGTTACTGTTAGTTTAAGTAATACTGTCAAATATCTGTACAGTGTGTCCAGACCCTGAGACTCCAAGAGGACATCACGGTTTGACACTAGAAGAACTCAGTGTCATTCATTTGCTTATATCAGCCTTCTTTAACTGTGAAACCCTAAACAGGGAGTAAGGTGGTAGTGCAAAAAACCACAGAGATACAGCTGTCTCCACTACAGTGAGTCCTGTGCATTAAAATGATCCAAATCAATTTGAAGTCAATGACAGTCTTTCCACTTACTTGAAGGGGCGTTAAATCAGGCCTTATGTGAGAGAGCACTTTGCTTTTGTGTTTTGGGTGTATCTACGAGAGTAATCTTAGCAAAAATTAAGGTACGCTAGTATTTAATGATTTCATGGGTGACTTCCTGGCTCCATTCAAGTCAGTGGCACAAATCCTATTGGCTTAAATGGAGCTAGGATTTCACCGCAACAGTCTAAAGACCTAACTGGTTGTCATTCATTCGTGGTTCTAATTTGAAGGTGGAGGCGAAGAATATTTTCTGAAAAACATTGTCCTAAATAGTTTGATTGCTGTGCATTTTAGAAGCAATCGTAAATACATTCAGTAGATGTATTTATTTTAGTATCATTTAAGAAAAATAAAGAATTAAACAAAATCAGTATAGTTCAATTAATAGGGGAAGTATAAATTCACTACCTTCTTCTAAACATTTCATTTTATTCTCCTTTCAGCGTGAAAAATCTTTTTATAACATGTCCATTCTTTATATGGTTTATTCTGTCTATTTAAACTGTTTGCCACTGTATAGTATGTTTATAATTGTTTAAAAGTAATAATCCTATGAAAAATTAAAAATCAATTTACAGAGTACTGAAATTGCAATAGAATAATGTTTAATTTAACCAAAGTATTTAAATAAATGGCTTAATGTATGTTGCAGTCAGATTTTCATATTTTTTCATGTTATAAAAGCAAAATTATTTTGATCTCCATAGCATGTCATATTTTTCATTTTCACAGTTATAGGACAAAAAATGTGAATGCATTATGGAGGCACTTGCCGCAGTATCGTAGTTATGGTTGAGCTAAGCATTTAAAGCAGGGATTCAAACACCTTTTTATACATGAAGAAAATTATAATATAGTAATCTGATATCATAAATAGCACAATACAAATTATACCAGTTATACCATAGCACAGATGGCTGTTTATTATATATGCAAGAACAATGTCAGTACAATACATTATTTAGAATATAAGGGCTCAAGCCTGCTAAGTCTTAATAATGCCAGTAATCGTTGTGCACCCGAATAATCCCACTGGAAATTGGTGGTGCCTCACAGGATCAGACCCCTAAAGCAATTTTCAGACAGACTCATTTCCTTGAAGCCAATGAAACTCATTCACCCACAAACTTTAAGGCTTTTAATTTTAAAATGATTGCTATGCCAGATTGTTACTGCCAGATTTCTAAAGTGCCAAACATTAATTAAATTCCATTATATAGGTTTTTAAAGTCCATAACATTCAGTGAAATGATCTAATTCCAGGAAACCAGGCCGTTCAACAAAATGTATTTACAGTGTATACTCTTCCATCGGTATAATTTAGTACTTCACTATTCTCTGTGGATTGTATTAATTGTAGATCTCCGTGCACACACACATTTACTATAAATATGAAAAAGAAAAAATCAAGGCTATAAGAATTTTTTTTAATTTTAAGCATTCTTTGGCATAGACGGTTATTCATGTTAATATAGTATATGGATCGTTATTGGGTCTGCCTTTTGTCTATGGTATGCGTGTCCCAAACTCTTGAGGTAAATTATATTTCATTATGTCCATCTCCCACCCCAGGTAATAATCTTTCCAAGCCAGCCCCTCTGGCAGCTCAATCATTTGTTCCTCTTGAGATTCCTCTTTTCTCTTTCTCTGTCTGTCTTTCCTTTGCACATGAGATTGTTGGTATACATGTATTTCTTGAAGCTAAATTGGCACATATCATCAAGTAAACATGTTCTGTGTGAGTGCAGGTTTTCTCTATAAAATTAATGTGGGCAGCAAGTAAGAATTAAATGGCGATTAGAATTTAAAGTATATTTATTTTTATACAAAAATGATACACGGGGAACTGCTCAATGCAACCTTTTTCACGTTGATTGTAGGTTGGCAGTTTGTTGCAAATCACTGGTACATAGCATATTTGAAAGTGTGTTGAATGGAGAAGGACAAATGGATTTCAGAATCAATCCAAATATTTTCTCTCTCATTAGCTGTCCTTGAAAAAAGTTTTTTACACCATGCATATTGTTAAATGCTTTGGATATGCTACTGTGATTTTAATTAATTTCATTGTAATTCAGGACTGTGGTTCGCTAATTCAGCCGGAGGAATCCTGTGGATTACAGCCTCTCTCTCCTGAGTACCTTTCAGCAATTTCAGAGACACAGTTTAAGACTTGTGAAGCTGGGGACACAAAAGGTTGGTTCTTAATGTATTCGCTCCCTTTTAAAAACAAATACCTGCACCCCACTAAAATAAAACACACAAAATCTCCTTGTCCTTTCTCTATGCACACAAAAGACACAAGCGAAACCACGATTTTGTTGCTATACAGACTCTTTTATTTACGTATTTTACTTACATGATTAACACAGGCAGTTTAGGTTTAAGAGACATTTTTTTCTGAGTGAAACAGTTTTCTCAGAGAAGATAGTTTCCCTGTATAATTATTATTTGTAAAGCTCACTGACAATTTTCCATCAAAAACATACATTTTTAAATGGAATTTTTTTTCTTAAATTTTTTCAAGTTTTTGAAGAAAACCCTAGAACAGTTTGTTTTGGGGTTTTTTTGCAAATAAAAAAACCTATTGGCATTTTTACCAGCTGTAGTCTTATGTTTCCAATTCCATGTTTTGAATAGACAAAAATAGTAACCAAATTTTTAAATAAACAAACTAACCCAAATATGCCCCTTTTATATAAACGAGTGCACAGAGATTTAAACATCACAATGGACAAGCCAAATAGCATGGTTTAAATGTCTTTTTTATAATAATTAAGATATATGCTGCAGGTCAATATGAACAAGCTTGCTCTTCAGTTCATAATAGAAGGAATGCAGTTTTGAATGTGGAAATATATTGGACCCAATCCCACAAAAATTTAAGCTTGTATATTTTTACAAATGTGAATATTCATGTGCATAAAATTATGCACATGCTGAAGTCTTTGCAGGATAAGACCATAATTATTTCTATATCTTCCTTTATTAAACAAATGGAAATAAAATCATACTACTGTATATACTACTAGCAGAAACGTAGGGCATGTCTACACGGCATCCACGGTTGGCCTGTGCCAGCTGACTCAGGCTTGCAGGGCTTGGGCTAAGGGCTGTTTAATTGCAGCATAGACATTCTGGCTTGGGCTGCAGCCTGAGATCTGGGAATCTCCCCCCCTCAGGTTTCAGAGTGGTAGTCATGTTAGTCTGTATCAGCAAAAAAAATGAGGAGTACTTGTGGCATCTTAGAGACTAACAAATTTATTTGGGCATAAGCTTTCGTGGGCTAAAACCCACTTCATCGGATGCATGCAGTGGAAAATACAGTAGGAAGATATTTAGTCACAGAGAACATGAAAAAATGGGTGTTGTCATACACACTGTAACAAGACTAATCAATTAAGGTGGACTATTATCAGCAGGAGAAAAAAAACGTTTGTAGTGATAATCAGGATGGCCCATTTCAAACAGTTTGAAAAGAAGGTGTGAGTAACAGTAGGGGGAAAATTAGGATGAGGAAATAGTTTTACTTTGTGTAATGGCCCATCCACTCCCAGTCTTTATTCAAGCCTAAGTTAATGGTGTCCAGTTTGCAAATTAATTCCAATTCTGCAGTTTCTCGGTAGAGTCTGTTTTTGAAGTTATTTTGTTGGAGAATTGTGACTTTTAGGTCTGAAATTGAGTGTCCAGGGAGGTTGAAGTGTTCTCTGATTTACACAAAGTAAAAACTATTTCCCCATGCTAATTTTTCCCCTACCTTCCTGTCAATTGTTGGAAATGAGCCACCCTGATTATCACTACAAATGTTTTTTTTCTCCCGCTGATAATAGCCCACCTTAATTAATTAACTAACCTTAATTGATTAGTCTTGTTACAACTGGTATGGCAACACCCATTTTTTCATGTTCTCTGTGTACATATATATTTTCCTACTGTATTTTCCACTGCTTGCATCCGATGAAGTGGGTTTTAGACCATGAAAGCTTATGCCCAAATAAATGTGTTAGTCTCTAAGGTGTCACAAGTACTCCTCTTTCCCCCCCCCCCCCCAGGGTCCTAGAGCCCAGGTTGCTTTGAATGCTGCATATAGCTAAATGAAGAACAAAATACATTATACCCTTCTGAGAAATAATATCTGTGGTGCAACTGTTTCAAATTGAAACAACATTCAATATATAAAGAGTCAAAGGGCATAACAGAAGTGGAAGAATAATTTCTTGTTAACAAAGTGAAGGTAGCTAATACCATCTAACTGACAAGGTTCAGCCCAAGTGCTGAGTGTGCATTACTTAGCATTTATATATTGCTGTGTAGTTTTCTTGCGGTTTACAAATGTTAACTACAAGTAGAATAGTTTGGCAATGAGTTCCACATTTGTAACTATGGACTGAGATCCCGATCCTGGCAATGAGAGCTGTGCAGGTGCCTTAGGAGCAAGCCTGAAGTCCTGACTAAGGCACAGCTCCCCTTGCCTCCCCTTTGATTGTTAAATAGATTAAGTATTCAAAGAAACATCAAAATTCTGACTCTTCCAAACCCCTGAAGAGGTAGGATGGCCTTTATGGTCAGGAGGACTGGGAGTCAAAGACCTGGGGTGACATCCTGGCCCTGTTGAAGTTGATGGCAAAACTTGGAAGTTTTCCCCTGACTGCAATAGGTCCAGGATTTCACCTCTGGTTTCTATTCGCTTGGTCTGACCTTGGGCAAGTCCTCTAGGATCTGATCCAATGGGGGACTAAGCTTCCTTAACTCCTGTTTGCTTCAGTAGATTTCAGGTGGCTCAGCACCACCCAGGAGGCACTCGGCATCTTTCAGGACAAGGCCCTTAATTACCCCATGTCTGTTTTTCATCAGTAAATGCAGAGTATTAATGTCAAACCAGGGTAGTTGCCTGCAATCTGTCTCAGTTTGGAACCACAGGACTGATAAATGATTCCAGTGATAGTAAGAAAAATCAACAACAATAATTAAGGGTTTGATCCAAAGCCTCCTGAAGCCACTGGTAAAACTCCCATTGACTTCAATGAGCTTTCAACCAGGCTGTAACATAATATATAATTACATGTTCAGTATTATTATAATATTACTTATTAGTTTTAAGTGCTGCCCATGTGCTTGGCACTTTGCAAAACACAAAAGAGACACAGTGGCTTAAAAACAAGGGAACCAATTCTGCGAAGCTTCTGCATATGAATCAGGCCACTGTAGTCTATGGTAAGTCCATATGGACTTGTGTGAACAAATGTAGATTTGGGCCTTATTAGATCATAGCTTAACATTTAATATTACAGTGGTGTGCTCGTGGCACTGTAGTTAAGCTTGCGTCATGACAACTGTTCAAAGACTGACCTTTCAAAGTCCTCTACAATTGACAAAACTCCCAGGCCCCAGATTTGGGTCACAAACCAACATAGGTCAGGAAATTCAAAGTAAGACAAACATTCTGTTCTTACTCTTACAGGTTTCAGAGTAGCAGCCATGTTAGTCTGTATTTGCAAAAAGAAAAGGAGTACTTGTGGCACCTTAGAGACTAACAAATTTATTTGAGCATAAGCTTTCGTGAGCTACAGCTCACTTCATCCGAAAGCTTATGCTCAAATAAATTTGTTAGTCTCTAAGGTGCCACAAGTACTCCTTTTCTTTTTGTTCTTACTCTGTTATTCTAAAAGGGAGCATAGCAGTACGGGTGTGAGCTAGATTTTGTAAGGTATTAACATGGCTGCCATTATCATTGTATTTGAATGCCTGACAATCTTTAATGTATTTGCCCTCACAACACCAAGGTAGGAAAGTTTTACGGGGGGGAAACTGAAGCACAGAGACTTGCCCAAGGTCACACAGGAAGTCTGTGGCAGAGCAAGGGCTTGTAGCCAAGTCTCCCAAATCCTAGGTTAGTGCCCTAACCCACAGAACCTTCCCTCCCTATGGTGCATAGTGGCAAGTCACCTGCCTAATGAAATCCCTAAGCATATAGACACCCCCACCAGTTTGAACAGCGAAAGCTGGAACTTTAGGGCCTGATCCATAGCCCACTGAAGTCAAAGGAAAGACGCCTGTTTACTTCAGCAGGCTTTGAATAAGGCCCTTTGTGCATCATTCACTAATACAACCTCTAGGCATATGTGTGTATGTGTACAGTTCATAGCAGTGTGAGCTAGGTAGTGCATTACCTTGCACAGTGGCAGGAGTATAGGACAAATACTGCCCTTTACGTGCTCTTGCAAGGCTTTCCAAGAGCTGACAGGAAAGATTTATGCCAGTTTTATGTGGGAGGACGCTATACTTATCTGTCTGATAAGCCAAAACACCCTGCCAGTTACCAAATATATTTGCTTCAGATCTCCCCTCTGTATGTTTGAGGCCACCCCTATGCAAATCTTCTTTCTCATCAAGGTGTCAGGAAGAAACTCTCAAGGTATCTAGGACCTGGCAGTCTTGTTTTCCGCAGTCTCATGCTCAACCTCTGCTATATTTTTATAGATTAAAATTAAACATGTCCATAGAAGTGTCCAAAATGTTCCTAATCCTGCACAGGTGCCTGGTACATGAAGCTAAAGGGGCTTAGGCTGCCTGAATAAACTTGTGCTTCCAAAAGCTGGGCTAGTGTAACCAGAGCCAGAAAAGTGACAGGCAGATCTTTAGAAGCCTCATTCCTGTTGTTTTGCCTTCCCTGCTCCTGTCCACAGCCTCACACCCTAGCATAGTAGTGAGAGCAGACAGCTCAAGCAGCCGACCATTCACCACGACTCCTCTGATCTACTACCTCAAGCTGCGAAGCACCCAGTGACAGTGGCAATCTCTGACATGAAGGGTTCTCAGAGCCAAACAGAGCCTGCATTTATCCAACAAATGAGAAGTCAGTGCAGAGACTCAAATGCATTACGTTCTGTTCAAGCCAAGTTGAAAGTGGGTTGACAGCAACAGAGACTGAACTAATGTTTCTCCTCAGAAGTAATAAAGCCTGGGTGTAGGCAGTGGAAGATCATCTCCCAAAACTGTCTAACTTATGTGCCTCAACACCTATTTTGAGAGACCATTTCCGGAAGGTGGGAGAGTAGCCTGGCTTCTGCAACCATTTCATCCTTGGCCTCTCTGTCAAGACTGACAAATTTGCCAAATGTGACAGTAGTTTTTTCTGATGTGTCCACTAGAAATTGGACTGATACAGCAATCATATCACATAGGCCCTTGAACAGCCATTGGATAGCAGTGACTTGGAATCACTACTGACCTATGCAGGACTTGCAAAAATAAGACTAAAAGCTTTACGTCTGGATCCCATCCCCCTAAACCTCCTAGCCCTTCTGATTTAATGTGACTCAATACCCTATATGTTATGGATCTCTGGTTTTTCTTGAGCTGTCAGATGCTTACAAATACGTACCTATTGCTCAGAAGTCCCCTGAAAAGCATATCCCCGAGCCTACAATTTTAAAATAAACCATTCAGCTAAATCAGCACTGAATGAATTCCTGTTCTCTTAACGGACAAGAAAAAAATGTACCAAGCAAGGAATTGAAGAATCCACAGGCATTTACTTATCTTCAAAGATTCCTCCTCCATACTGCACAACCAATACATTGACCTTAGCCTTATCAGGATAGACTTGAAGCCAAGACTTCATGCCATTTATCCTTACTGGAGTAGCAATATTGAACCTGATCCAAACTCTGTTTGCTAAGTCTCCTTACCCACTTGACCCACCTTATAGCAAGTTACATACCTTCAATTTGTTTGAACTTACAACTCCTATGTCACTTGCACTTATCAATGTTAAGCTGCCAATGTGTCTTCCAGATAACTTGGCCCAGAGATGTCCAATTATGGAAGATAGTGCACGTATCTGAGGTGTTTCATCAGCTTTGGCCATATAACTACTGTAACCGGCCGCACTGCAGGGGGTCACCCTGGGTAGGTCTACACAGCAAAGAAAAACCTGCAGCTGGCCCATGCCAACTGACTCAGGCTCGCCGTGGGTTTTTCTTTGCTGTGTTGTAGACATACCCTCTGATTGCTGTGGAACAGCAGTCCCCTAGATGGCTGGTAGCATGCTGGGCATACCACAGGCTCAGCGGCAAGTGCTGGAGGAGCTCAAAGCTCTAGGCCCTTCAGTCTCTAGCCGTTGGTGTGTTTCCATAAACACAGCATCGGACAAATAGCGAAGGATGCCAGCAATAAATCATGCAATTAATGATTGCTTTAAGTTACAAACCAAAGATAAACCAACAATCCCTAACACAGCCCCAGAGGACAGTCCAGTCCAGGGGTAAGGAGGTGGGGCCCCTGCAGTCTGGTGCCAAAGGTACTCACTCCAGGCCACTGCTCTCCTGCAGGCAGTCACACACTGGCCTGCATATCCCCCAGCTAGCGCCCAGTCCTCTTGTCCAGCACCTATACTCCTAGTCAGGCCTGTCCATATGCTCATCCTTCCCTCTCCATGCCCCTCCCCCCAGTCTGTAGGATACTTCTGGGTTTCTATCTGGTGCAACTGCCACTGGACCCTTTGCCAGCAAGAGGCTGCTTTTGAAACTGGCTCCCAGATCCCAACCTGTCTGGCTTTCTCTTTGCCACCGGCTCCCAGCCAGCTGCCTCCAGCTTGTTGCTCTTTATCTAACACAACCTCCAGGTCCCCTGTGGCCTCCTTTCTTGTGCTGGAGGGGTTATGGATCCCCCTATTGATTGGATGTTGCAGTGGGAAAGTAACGGTGCCCAGTAATGAGCCAGCAGGTTCAGACCGGTCTCAGAAAGTAGTTGTCAATGAGAAATCATCATCAAATGGGGATGTTCTAGTGGGGTTCTGCAGGGTTCTAGCCCCAATGTTGTTCAACATTTTCATCAGTGATCTGAAGGTAAATATAAAATCATTGATGATAACATTTGCAGATGAGACAAAGATTGGTGGAGTGGTACATAACATGAGGGCAAGGTAGCCATACAGAGGGCTCTGGGTTGCTTGATAAGCTGGGTCCATTCAAACAAACTGTATTTTAATATAGTCAAATGCAAGGTCATACCTCTAGCATAAAAGAATGCAACCCATACCTCCTGAATGGGGGGCTGTATTCTGAAAGCAGAGACTCTGAAAAGGATTCAGGAGTCATAGTGGACAAGCAACTCAACATGATTTGCCAGTGCAGTGGTGTGGCAAAGAAGGCTAATGGGATCTATGGATGTATAAACAGGGGAGCACTGAGTGGGAGTAGGGTGCTGATTTTACCTCTATACACAGCATTAGTGAGGCTGATACTGGAATACTGTGTACAGTTCTGGTGTCCACATTTTACAGTGGGTGTTGAAAAATTAGAGAGGGTGCAGAAAAGAGTAACAAAAATTATTGCAGGCTGGAAAAAATGCCTCACAGAGAGACATTAAAGAGCTTGAGAGGTGACTTTATTATGGTGTATAAGGTACCTTCATGGGAATAAAGTACTGGGTTATAAATGGCTGTTTAACCTAGCAGAGACAGGCAGAACAAGAACCAATGGCTGGAAGTTAAACCCAGACAACTTTAATATAGAAATAAGGCACAAGCGTAACAACAGTGAGGGTGATTCACCATTGGAGCAAACTACTAAGGGGAGTGGTGGATACACCATCTCTGATGTCTTCAAATCAAGACTGGATGCCTTTCCAGAAGAAGTGATTTAGTTAAACATAAGTTATTGAGCTCAATACAAAAGTAACTGGATGAAATTCTACAGTCTATACAGGATGTCAGACTAGATGATCTAATGATCCCTTCTGGCCTTAAAACCTAAGAATATATGAAGATGATTTGAGCCTCAATTGCATCCCAACTGAAAATGTAGAATGGCTGATCCCAGCCCTAAAGGAATCTGGTGGCAAAGACCAACCAATTCTAAATAATAGTTTTTCCTTTAACTGAGAAGTTAGAACAAATAAATCAATAACCACTTACAAGGCTTGGTTTAATGTTCTAAGCCTGCCACTGCAGAAGCAGCTACCAGTACCTTGCGCAGAGAGGATGCTGCCGGAAGAGAAACAGCCGTTGTAGACGAGAGGCTGTCAAATACTGAGGACCAGGACTATACTGCAAATTTTTGCTGGCTGGCTAGGTTAATAGGGGGTGTGAAGAGGTGTGATCTGTGCCCAGCACAGCTGTGCCAGCAAAAGCCCTTATTGTAGATATGGTTAAACTGGCAAAGGTGCATTTTTACTAACAGAGTTTGTTTCTCCAGAGCGGGGATAGGTGGGTTGCAGTTGGCACCAGCAAAGTCTTCCCAGTGTAGAACTGGCCTCATGAAGGCTGAGCACTTTCAGGTTTCTTCAACTCTCTTCAGAGCCTGAGGGCTTTTGTATATGGCGAGTTAATGTGGAGCAAGCCAGGGTGTGATTCTGTAGCGCACTGGTTGGCGATCCACTAACTTACCTTGTAGATCCTGCTACTAGGCACTAAAAGTTTTGTAGTGCATTTTGACATAGTGCATTTGAAACAAGAGTCTGTCAAAGTGCACTAGGGAACGTTTAGCACACGGTAGTAGGGTCCACACAGAGAGTAAGTGTATGGCAAGCTGGTGTGCTGAATAAGTCACATCCCGGCTTGCTGCACATTAACTCACTGTATAGACACGCCCTTAGTTCTATTAATTTTCACTAAAACCGAGAGGTAAAATTTTGAAAAGCACGTAAGTAACTTAGGGCACATCTACACTTAAAACGCCGCATTGGTGCAGCTGTGGCACTGTAGAGCTTTAATGAAGACGCTTTAAGCCTGTGGAAAAGAGCTCTCCCATTGGCTTAGTTAATCTACCCACCCAAGAGGTGGTAGCTATCGCAACAGGAGAAGCTCTCCCACTGACATGGTGCTGTCTCTGGTGGGGCGGAGGGGGAGGTTGGTATAACTACGTCACTCAGAGTGTGGATTTTTCATACCCTTAAGCGGTGTTGTTATTACTGATAAAGGTCTGTAGTGTAAACCACATCTTAGGAGCCTAAGTCCTATTTTCAAAAAGGACATAGGCATTTAACAATCTAAATCTCATTGACTTTCAGTGAGACCTTAGCACCAAAGTCACTTTTGAAAATGGGACTTAGGCTCCTCAGTCACTGAAGCACATTTGAAAATTCTGCTCCACATCTTCTCTGTCTCATTTTTATGCATTACCCACTTGAATTATGCTTCCTTTCCTAACAAGGATTGGCTGCTATGAGGAAGGAAAACTAGGAATGAGCCCAAATTAAAACACTGGATCTGGACATTCCCAAATTTTTCAGGCAAAGCAAAAATACCAGTGTTTGCTAACTGGAAAAGGTCTAGCACAGGAGCAAGAAATACTATTTTCAAGCTTCCAAAATAACAGAGTTAAAAATTATTAAAACCTACATGAGACAGAACTAGACAGTCTCATTAATTAAGTATTAAGACTACCTTAGCCTGCTGGCAAAAATATGTAGGAGAGTCAAAAGACATTTTGCTGTTTTCCAGGGCAGTGGATTGTGCCTTGCCTCAGCTGTTCTGACAACAGAACCTGTGACTGGCGAGAAATAATATGGCAGCCACACAACTGTCAGTATTCTGTCCTGACTAAGCCAGAGCTCCAACAATGTGTAGAAGGCAGAAAGGTATGCAACCAATTTATCTCTTTCACCTGCTGTATCTGTAACAGAAGATAAGTCATCCATGTCTTTTCACACTGAACTTTATTGGCCTGAAGTTCTTTACAAGTGTGAAGAAATATGCATTGTGATTGGTGTATAAAAAAAATTGCTTTTCATTACATCGCTAGAGGAATGTTAGAAGGGATTCAAATCACAATGACAAAGAATGATTATGTAGAATTGAACCCCTTATAATGTATATTTTTATGCTGCCATTTGACACAGACCTTCAGTTGATATTAATGAAATTTCAAGACATAACAGATACATGGCTATGAAATACCTGTAGTGCATTTGGCTGTAGTAAGCATGTAAGCCTTACAAGTGAAAAATAATTTGCATTGGTGTTAAAGACTGACATATACTTTGCATGCAAGCTTTGTTTCTTCGGCTGTATACCTAATGCATGCCATTGCTTGTGCATACTAATCTTACAAAGTCTTCTTGCACATTCTTTTCTTATAGTGAAACTTCTAAGGTGATTGCTTGGAAACACAGTGTCTTCTTAATAGGCATGGTATGACTATATAACATTTGAGAGAGATCTCTGAGCTGAGATTCAGGTACAATTACTGGGAATACAAGTGTCCAGAAAGTAAGTAATGGTTATAAAGATTTTTGACATTATATGTCCTAGGTTAAAAAAAAGTCTTTTGGATTAAACCAGAGACTGTCTCTATTCATAAAAAATTATAATTACTCTTTTGTAGTTTTCTTCCTTCCTTTCTTCTTAACTGGCCACTTCTCAGCCAGCACAAGGTCCTTCATTGCAATCTGGCTTCTTTCTCCCTTTGTTTTTTTCCCTGAGATGGGGGCTCTTCTGGATTGTGCAAATCCAGCTGTGGGACAGATTCTGCTGTCAGTTATACCCGCATAAATTGGAGTGGCTCCATAAAGCCATTTCATTTCTGGGTCAGGTGCTATGGAGAATACTTTCCCTAATTTATGGTGTATCTAGCTCCAAATGTCCCCTTTCCTAAAAGAGAAGAGGGCCTGGGACACTGTAGACAGTTCCCAACAGAATAACAGTCTGATATTATCTTAGAGCAATCACTGCTGAATGATCTAGGACAGGCTCAGGGCCCTCACAGCTGGAGCAATGTCATGGTAATACAGGGACAGTTTGCCAAGGAATGAAATTTTTTTAAAGTTAAAATACGCTTTTTATGCAAGTGTGAATGTACACTTTGCCACACTGTTTCTGAGTCCTTAGCCTCTGGGCTCAATTCCAATCTGAGTTACACTGGTGTAAATCCAGATTAACTTCATTTCAATGGGGAAAAGAGGAATTCACTGCTTCAGGCAGTAGAGCAGTACTGGAGTCACACCACAGAGCCTTCAAAGCTCTAGCATTCCCTTTCATGGAGGGCATGGATCAGACACAGTGCATCAAATTCTCCAGCTCACCCCCAGTTTAGTGCCTGTTGCTGCACTGGGAGCCTCCATAAAATTAGACTCCATATCAGGCTGTGGGTAGTGGATGCCTTCCGTGGCTTCTCCAAGTCCTTCTCCCATATGAGCAGCAGAATTGTGCCAGAGAGTGGGAGTTGGATTTGCCCCTCATGTACAACACCATCATCTTTGGAGTAGTTGTGGTCACAAATGAAGAATTTGATGGCCTCAGCCTAATCCTTAAGGTATTTGGCAATTTGTTCACATCAATAACCCACCACAAGTTTGCCAGCGAATCAAAGGCTGTAGATAACAAGGGAGCAGCATGTCCCAATGAAGGTGCATTCCCAGAACTGAGTTAGGAAGTGTACAGAGTGCCTAGTCACGCAGTGCGTGACTGACCAGTGCAACACTCCCTCCCTCTCACCAGCACCAAAATCAGTCCCAACATTTGTTAAGGGGTCCATTAAAATAGAAGAAGTATGCATGCTTGAAGTTCATGAGCCTGATTCTAATCTCAGCTCTGGAGGTGTAAATCTTAAGTAACTCCATTGAAGTCAGTGATTTACACCAGTGTCAGATCAGAATCAGGCCCCACGTAAACTACAGTGACTCTCTATTAATGATACAGACAGTACAAAACAGGGGGAGTGCAACCAGGTGGCTCACCCCTTAATGGCTGAAGGTTAGCCCCCGCCCTGATTACAGAATGAGCCCCTTTGAAAGGAATCTGGTGATTCCAGTATAAAATCAGCAAGAAGCTGCAGGAGGGATGTCCAGGAAATGGTGGCTGTCTCTGTAGAGTGTGTACAGAGAACGAAGACTCCTGCAGAGCCCTGAGTCAGCAGGTAGGAAGGCACCAGTGGGGAGGGCCTGTAAAGAAGGACAGTCTCCAGGCAGGAAGCAGAAAGACAGACCCTGACAGAGGACAGTCTGTGCCCAGCTGAAACTTGAATGAGGGCTGGGAGAGTTTGTAGGGTTGCCAACTCTCCAGGATTGTCCTGGAGTCCCCAGGAATTAAAGACTAATCTTTAATTAAAGATTATGTCATGTGATGAAATATGAAATTCCTCCAACCAAAGTTGGCAACCATAGGAGTTTGTAGTTCTCTTTTGAAAGACTTTGTGTTATTTTGGATTCTCAAGAGAGAGACACTGAACTGGGGTTGGAGCCTGGAGGGCCAATGGACCCGAGCACTGAATAAACTGGACCCCAGGGGGAAATGTATAAGTTCCTTATAATATACTGTGTGGAGTTTAAGTCCTGAAGAAGGAACAAACAGAGGGAGGGCAGTACTGAAGTACCCCTGGCCCCAAGGAGGTGCTCTGGGTGCAGTTGACCCTATTACAATAAGCAATTAGAAAACTCTGTAAAGCTAAAAGATTTGTCAAATAACCTTTCACGGGGCAGCAGAAATCTGTTGACTGGATGCTCCTGTCTCAGCACAGACATTTGTTTGAGACCGTTCTTTTAATGGGTCTGTTCTTTGTTAAAATCTAATTTCTGTGGCATTTTAGCTTTTGGTATATTTCTCCTGTACACCTTAATTTCTCTTTCCCTCTGGTATTACTTTTATCTTAATATTGCTGTGAAGCATTTTGGGATAATTTGAGCATAAGTGACTAAATCAGATAAGGGCAGATCCTGGCTCGTGTGAGTAGATGCTCTGCAGTAGGAGGGAATTGTTCCCATGTGAGTTGGCTGAGTGGGAACGGCCCTAAAGTTGTATTACATGGGACAGTCAGGGACTGATCACAGTTAGGTCCCTTTGCACCACTCTGACAGTGTAAAGGGGCCTTGGTGTAATGAGAATTGGGTCCTAAAAACTGTGTTGTTAATTAGGTGTTCTTCAAAAAGGACTTTATTAAAGGTTCTGCATATTTTAATGCACTTATACTTTAACAGTTTTGTTCCTTTTGAAAGGTGTTTAAGTGGACTGTATCAGTACTGTGCATATTTTTTGTGAATGTAAATATATAAATGATGGTTATCATGATGTCATGTGATATAAACATCTCCCAATTCCTAGTAATTATTCAAACTGTTATGTACGTTAGTGATCTCCACAAGTGCTTAAAGCTAAATTCCAACCATACTAATATACGTATACTGTACCATACATAAAAATGATGGGTCTAAATTAGTTGTTGCCACTCAAAAAATAGATCTTGGAGTCATTGTGGATAATTCTCTGAAAACATCCACTCAATGTGCAGTGGCAGTCAAAAAAGTGAACAGAATGTTGGGCATCATTAAGAAAGGGATAGATAATAAGACAGAAAATATCATATTGCTTCTGTATAAATCCATGGTACGCCCACATCTTGAATACTGCATGCAGATGTGGTCGCCCCATCTCAAAAAAGATATATTGGAATTGGAAAAGGTTCAGAAAAGGGCAACGAAAATGATTAGGGGTATGGAACGGCCGCCATATGAGGAGTATTAGTAAGATTGGGACTTTTCAGCTTGGAAAAGAGACGATGAAGGGGGGATATGATAGAGGTCTATAAAATCATGACTGGTGTGGAGAAAGTAAATAAGGAAGTGTTATTTACTCCTCCTCATAACACAAGAACTAGGGGTCACCAAATGAAATTAATAGGCAGCAGGTTTAAAACAAACAAAAGGAAGTATTTTTTTCACACAATGCACAGTCAGCCTGTGGAACTCTTTGCTGTGAAGGCCAAGACTATATCAGGGTTCAAAAAAGAACTAGGTAAGTTCATGGAGGATAGGTCCATCAATGGCTATTAGCCAGGATGGGCAGGGATGGTGTCCCTAGCCTCTGTTTGCCAGAAGCTGGGAATGAGCAATAGGGGATGGATCACTTGATGATTACCTGTTTTGTTCATTCCCTCTGGGGCACCTGGCATTGGCCACTGTTGGAAGACAGGATACTGGGCTAGATGGACCTTTGGTCTGACCCAGTATGGCTGTTCTTATGTTCTAAAAATGCCCAAAATATGTCGAGGGTTGGGCGGTGGGAGAGGTTGATGTAGATTGCTGCGCAGTTTCTATTGCCATTTGTTGAAGATAAATGAAGACTCTGCATAATTCAGTCATGGCTCCCCCACTCAAAAGTAATATGTTCATCTGATCTATCTACCTATCTATTTTAGAATTTTGTATGAGCTCCCTCACCACAGTAAATTATAATACCGAGCTGTTCTATAGCAATTTTCATCTCTAGAGCTCAAAGCGCTTTACAACGTATCATTATCCACATTTTACAGATGTGCAAACTGAGTCACAGAGAGGAAGTGACTTGCCCAAAGTCATCCAGCAGGCCAGTGGCAGTGTCAGGGACAAATCCCAGGTCTCTTGAGATCTAGCCCAATGTTCCACCCACCCAGTCACATTGCCACCGTAGTATCCGAGCTCTGATCTCAAGTATATCTCATACATAAAACCTTTATATATAAACAGCAAAAATGTTGTTTTTTTTATTTTGCAGCTTCTCTCTATATATGTCTGTATATACGTGTGTGTGTGTGTGTGTGTGTGACTAGCATGGTTGCCTTAGCTGGAACAATGGCCTCAACTGAATTATCTTTGGAAGTCTCCCATCA